GCAAGGACTCAGACACTAGGTTATCCAGAGTCCTGTTGAGTCTTATTATATCTAGGGTGATGTTTCCCCATTCCAGTGTCCAAGAAGAGCTTGTGTACTGTGCTCTTCCTTACAGTCCGTCCCAGTAATGAAAAGCAGAATTTAATTTCTGTTCCCCAGTTCTCTCACCCCTAGGATCTTAGTTCTCTTGGGAAAAGGGAACTGCAGGCACCACAGTACACAGAAACAATACCTTTTCCTGTTAAACTTCAGTGTCTGCAAGCAAAGAGCCAGGTAACAGAGACTCCCTGGGGAAACACTCCAGGGAAAAAGGGATGGCTGAGGCAAGGCCACTTCCCCAGCACAGGCTGACCTTGCACTGAACGATCCGAGCGAAGAGCTGGAGCACACGGCTGCGAACGAAGCTGTGGATGTCACAGACATGGGCCTGCAGGATGCTCAGGAACTGGTCCCGAGTGCCACGGGCAGCTTCCTCCAGCTGGTCACCATTCAGCACCTGCAGCAGCACTTCTGCCATGGCTGCCAGCACAGCATTCCGCATCATGTAGCTCTGCAAAAAGAGGAGTTGGTGAGCTAGGAAGAGACAAACGGACCTGACTTGATGTGCCAAGGGAAGGAGAGCCCAGAGTTTGGGCTTTCTAAGTTCCAAGCTTCAGCCTTAAGTGAATTTCTTCCCTGTGAACTTTTTATTAACCTTGGGTGAGCATCGTTGTGGCTGCAAGGGAGAGCAATCCAACCCTACTCTTGAGCTAGATCCATCGAAGCCAAGGACTGATAAGAGAAACTTTTAAGGGCAGTTTAAGAAAAGGTAACACAATGACAAACTCATTAAGCACTGAAGAGCAGCTGGGATCTCCATTCTCTGATATCTAGGAGTGACAACCAGACAGTAGATGTAATGGTTTTCATTTCCTTTGCATCATATAGGTAAGGGGAGAAGCTGTTCCAAACAGCAGGTTTGGGCTACTTGATCTCTGTGAAAGAGGTTCTGTTTTCAGACAGGAAAGCTAGATGGTAGCACCTCCACTTGACTCCCCCAGACAGGGTAGTACTGTGCAAATGTACCTCCCCATCCAAGTGACGCAGGAGAACGCTCATGTTGGATAACACCAGAGCTGGGATCTGCTCAGCCAGTTCTGTTACAAAGGCAGCATAACCCTTCATTCCAGAAGCATCACGAGCCACATCCTGCGGACATTTCTGTCCGATTTCCCTGCACAGAAAGATGACAGAAGGAATAGGGTGCCTCAAGTTGCTAGAGACAGAAGGACAAGCCTTGGGGTGCTTTTCTCACCTCAGCAATTCGCCCACCAGGCTCTTCAGACCATACTCTGTAGCCCAGAGGCTCACAGCCTGGGCAAACACTGGGGCTACGTGTTCAAAGTGCTGCAGCATCTGCGTGATCTTCAGCGTGGCACCTGTCGCATGTGAGGAGGGAGAAAGAGGTCAGGGAAAGGAACTGGGAAAGGCCAGAGGAAGCAGGCAGAAGAGCAGGAACTCACTAAACATGTGATCATAGCGAGTCAGAGCTGCAGCAAGCAGGTGTATCACAGCTTCCCGCGTGGCCCGGTACTTCTGAAGACCGATACCTGGATTCTCCAGGATACGATAGCAGGTTCCTGTCATTAAGCTGAAGCCACAGAAGAGACAAGTCAACCTCAGCATCACAACTTGCACCAACATCATTCTAGCACATGGCACTGGGCAAACATTTCCCTCAAAGCAGAGGAATTCTCCAATATCCTTAAAAAAAAATCTGAGCAAACATCGTCTGAACTTTAACATGAGAACAGGAAGAGTTTTGTCCATTTCCCAGTGATGTCTACACCCTGCTGAGGGCTGAAAAACCACCTGACTGGCAGATTTAACAGTTAACCCTCCCTTCCAGAAAACCACTGTCCCCCATAACACCTCTATAAGCACTTCATCCCCTACCTGACAAACTCTTCTTCCACCACCAAACCACTCCAAAGCTGACAGAGATCCAGTTGCAACAGCTGTGTCAGCAACCTTAAGAGTGGATCCCTCTCCTCTTCCCACAAGGATCCAGAGGTCTTGGCACGGTTCTTCTTGTTCTAGAAAGGAGATGTGATCCATCAGCAGCTTGACGTGATGAAAACCACCATCATCACACTGCTTCCCTTCAAACAGAAAACTACTGTTAAAAGCTGCTGCACTAAGGGACATTTAGTGAGATACACCAGACGTTTCCAAGCCCACAGCAAACGACCATGTCTGTCATCTTTGAGCACAGAAGGGAACTCTTGAGAAGTTACCAGCACAGAAAGGACCAGCCAGACACTGAAGAGTGAAACAGAGAGGCCTGGACAACTGAATCCCTGCTGATGGGTAGACACATACTGTCCCTTTGGCTGTTTTCTCTTTCACAGAAATCCTAGTACCCAGATACTTTTTACAAGGGTGTGTAGTGATAGAACACAGGGTAATGGCTTTGAGCTGGAAAAGGAGGGATTTAGGTTAGAAATCAGGAAGAAATTTTTCAGTGTGAGGGTGGCGAGACACTGGCACAGGTTGCCCAGGGAAGTTGTGGAAGAGTTCAAGGCCAAGTTGGATGGTGCTCTGAGAACCTGGTCTAGTAAGAGGTGTCCCTGCCCATGCAGGGGGGTTGGAACTAGGTGATCTTTAAGGTCCCTTCCAACCCAAACGACTCCACATGATGTACCGCTCTTGCCAGCATAAAGTTCAAATAAACCCAGCTCTAACACTGACAAATACCAGCGAGTTCAGCAAGCTCTCAAGTCTTCCATGGTCATCTCGTTTTTCCCCTAGTCCCCTCACTTACCTTCCCACCAGGATGCACCTCCAGCAAAGCACTCTTGCACGTTTCTGTCTCAAAGGCATCTACCAGGCCAGTCAGCAAGTAGCAGTTCATCTTGAGAGCATTGAGATGAGCAGCACGCTCCCCACAGCTCAGCCCAGAATCACCCAAGATGGTGGGAAGCTCATTGGAATGATGGGACACCACTGAGGAAAGGCAGAAAGTCATGAGCACTCCTTGCCAGACCCCTCAGCCATCCTCTTTTGGAGACCTAGAGCAGCCATCAGATTACCAAAGACATGTGCTCACATCCCACCAGCTGGAACGTGGGCTGCCCCCTGCAGCCCAAACCTTGGATGTGCTGTCCTGTCCTATCCCCACAGCCCCCCATCAGCTCACAGAAGCACTCCCTCAGAGCTGATGCATCCCAAAGATGCATTCCCCAGGGATGCAGGGAAGGGGATTTCCTGTCGGCCTGCCCTTACAGCGAACACGCACAGCTCTGCAGTGCCCACCAAGATTACAGACCATATTGCTGGAGTGGGCTGAGGGTGCAACCCAGCTGGTCAAGTCACATTAGCCTTTCTGTCATCATGGAGCTGCTGAAAGGAGGGCAACCTCCCCATCACCCCTGCTGCAGCCGGCAGCAGCCAATACCCACCCTGCATCATCAGCTCCAGGGCATCCTCCTTCACATCCGTCCCCACAGCTCCGAAGTGGCTGCAAGAGAAGCAGAGCCCGTGAGAACAGCGAGGAAACGCCCCCGGGTAGAGAGGCGAGCGCCTGGGAGCACCAGCCCCTTGGCAACCCCCGGTGTGAGCCTCAGCCCCGCTCGGCACTTACTGCAACACGCTGTAGAGGGGGTCGAAGTGCTGCAGCACAGCCAGCGCGCCCTGCGCCCGGAAGGCAGCCCGGAAACCTGCGGGGAAAACACAGCGGGGGAGGAAACAAGCGGGCACGGCCGTGTGAGCGGCCCAGGCCCCGGGGAGCGTGTGTGTGTGTGTGGTACCCTGGGCTGG